TTCTGGTAGTGAATGGACCCTAATGGAGTCCTAGTTTAGAAAGGACTCTCATGTTGTCCTGGTGGAGAATGGACTCTAATGGTGACCTGGTGGGAAATGGACTCTCACAGTGTCCTGGTAGAGAATGGAACCCCATGGTGTCCTGGTGGAGAATAGACTGTTATTGTGTTATGGGGGGGAATGGACTCTCATCATGTCCTGGTGGGGAATGGTCTTTTGTGGTGTCCTGGTGGGGAACACAACTTTATGGTATACTGTTGGAATATGGACCCTCATGGTGTCCTGGTGGGGAATGGACTCTCACGGTATCCTGGTGCAGAATAGATCCTGATGGTGTCCTGATAGGGAATGGATTCTCATGATGTCCAGGTGGTGGATGGACTCTCATGTTGTCTTGGAGGAAAATGGACTCTCATGGTTTCCTGGTGGAGAACAGACCCTTGTTGTGTCCTGATGGAGAATGGACCCTGATGTCCTGAAGGAGAAAGGACCCTCATTGTGTCCTGGTGATGAATGGACTCTAATGGTGTCCTGGTGGCGAATAGAGTCTCACAGTGTCCTGTTGGAGAGTGGACACTGATTGTGCCCTGATGGAGAATGGAGCCTGATGGTGTCCTGGTGGGGAATGGGCATTCATGGTGTGCTGGTGGAGAATCATCCTTTGGAGTGTCCTGATATAAAAAAGGACCTTCGTGGTGTCCTGGTATGGAATGGACTCTCATAGTGGCTAGTAAATAATGTACTCTTATGTTGCCATGGTTGAAAATGGACCCTAATGGTCTCCTGGTGAAGAATAGACCCAGATGTTGTCCAAATGGGGAATGGACTGTCACAGTGTCCTACTGGAGAATGGACTCTCATGGTGTCCTACTGGAGAATGGACCCTCATAGTATCTTGGTGGGGGGAGTGGACCCTCATGTCTTGGTGGGGAATGGACTCTCATGTTGTCTTGGTGGGAAATGGACCCTCATGTTGTCTTGGTGGGGAATGGACCCTCATGCTGTCCTGGTAGAGGATGAATCCTGACTGTGTTCTGGTGGTATAAGGACTCTCAGGGAATCCTGCTGGTGAAAGGGCTCTCATGGTGTCCTTCTGGGATTCTAGTGCTGTCCTGTTGGAGAATGGACTCTCTTGATGTACAAGTGGCAAATAGACTCTCATGTTGTCCTAAGGGAGTTGGACCCTGATGGTGTCTGATGGGGCATTGATTCTCATGGCTAGTAATGAACTCTAATGGACTGCTTCTGGGATATAGATTCTCTTGTCTTCCTCATGGAGAATGGACTCTAATGGTGCCCTGCTGGAGAATGGACCCTCATGGTGTTCTGGTGGAGAATAGACTCTCGTTGTGTCATGGTGGGTAATGGACTCTCATGGTGATCCTGGTAGATAATGTCTTTCATGTTGTCTTGGTGGAGACTGGAAGTTCATCGTGTCCAGGCGTTGAATGGACCCTCGTGGAGTCCTGGTGGAAAATAGACTCTCATGGTGTACTGGTGGTGAATGGATCCTCATGTTGTCCTGGTAAGGAGTAGCCTCTCATGTCGTCCTGCTGGAGAATGAAACCTCATGGTGTCCTGCTGGAGGATGAAACCTCGTGGTGTCCTGATGGAGACTGGACCCTCATTGCATCCTGGTAGAGAATGGACTCTCGTGATATCCTGAAGAAGAATGCAGCCTCATGGTATCCTGGTAGATAATGGAGTCTTATGGAGTCCTGGTAAAAAATGCACCCAGATGGTGTCCTGTCTGGGAATGGACTTTCATGTTTTCCTGGTAGAGAATGGACCTTGATGGTGTCCAGCTGGGTGATGGAGACTCATGTTGTCTTGCTGGGAAAGGGCTCCCATGGTGTCCTGGTAAAGAATGGACTTTCACGGTGCCCTAATGTGGAATGGACTTTGATATTGTCCTTATGGAGAATGGTTCCTTATGATGTCCTGACAGGGAAAGGTGGTTCATGATGTCCTGCTGGGGAATAGACCCTTGTGGTGTCCCAATGGATATCAGATTCTCGTGGTGACTGGTGGAGAATAGAGCTGCCTCATGTTCTGATGGAAAATGGAGCCTCATGGTGTTCTGGTGGGAAAGGACTCTCATGGTGTTCTGATGGAGAATGGGCCCTGATGGCCTCCTGTTGGGGAATGGAATCTCATGGTGCCCTAGCTGGAAAGAACTCCGATGTTGCCCTTATGGAGAATGGTTCCTCATGGTGTCCTGACAAGGAAAGGCTGCTAATGGTGTCCTGCTGGGGAATAGACCCTCATGGAGTCTTGGTAGGGAATAAACTCTCATAATATCCTGCTGTGGAATGGACTCTTATGATGTCCTAGTGGAGAATGGACATTGTTATTGTCCCATTGGGGAATGGACCCTCATGGTAAACTGGTGGTGAATGGACCATCAAGGTGTCCTACTGGAGAATGGACTTGCATGGTGTCATGGTATGGAATAGGTTTGAGGTTGTTCTGCTGGGCACTTGACCCTTGTGGTGCCCTGGTGGAAATTATACCCTCATTGTTATCTGGCTGTTAATGGACTCTTGGGGTGTCCCGGTGGAGAATGGAGTCTCATGGTGTCCTGATGGGAAATGGAGTCTCGTGGTTTCCTGGTGGAGAATGGACTTATATGGTGGACAGATAACACTGCCAAGTGTAGGAATGCTGCTTCCTCCCAGTCTGCTCTCGGTACCTCTGGAAATCAGGTAAGGTTGCTGCTGTCCATCTGATCATGTTGAGCTCATGTGTAGACCTCCAAGGACAGGTAAGATGTTGCCAATGTGACATTGGTGGTCAGAACTTGGGGAGAACAATGTGAAGGCTGGTGACCAGGACAAAGTCAGCACAGCTGAAAGGGTGAGGGTCCACTGGGGGCTCAGACAACATAAGAGGTCTGTCCCTTCACCTCTTATTTGTCTATCCTCTGGCCATGCTTTAGCCTTTTTCATGGCTGAAGCTCTCTTGCCCCTTCTCATCCCCCAGATTGTTTCTTTCTTCACCTCTCCAGAAGTATCAGAAGCCCCACCCCCACCCCACCCTGAGTATGAATGGCTCTAGCTCCTTCCTTCAATGAAGTTTGAGAAATTCTGCCAAATGCCTTTCAACTGTCAGTTGGATTTACTGCAAATTCTTTTGACATCTGGTAGGTGGAGTCCACTTCTGGAGTTCCACAAGAGATGACTTTTGTGCCTTGGAGGCTGGCATTAGTGATTTGAGGCTGGGTCACCGCTGAGATGGGCACAGCTGAGGTGTAGGGGAGGGCCATGGGTGTGGTTAGGATCTCCTTTTGTGATCAGGGTCCCTTCCTGCTCAAGAGAACTGTGGCCCCCACCTTGAGGTGCACACCATTGCACCACATCTGCTTCCTGGGTGACAGCTCAGGGACATTGTGCTGGCTTCAGTCTTTGTACTCAGAAGGACCTCACTTGGTTTAATACTCTGTGTTGCCACCCTGAAATTAAATATTAAAATTAAGGTTGTCACCTTAATTTTTCATTAAGGGGCCTTGTATTCTTATTTTGTTCTGGGCCATACAACTTATGTAGCTAGTTCTGAAGTACATTTTCTGATTTACTGAAATTATTCTGTTTACAAAATTGGATGCTCATTTCAGAATCTTTAGAATGTGCAGACAAGGCACAAGAAGAAAATGAAAAGTAACATTCTACCTCTCAGAAACAAACATTTTAAACATCATGGAGTATATCCTTTGAAAACTTTATTTGCATAGATGCATAGATATGAGCGCAATTTGCAAAATGTGTCATATCCCATCATATAGATGTTCCCTGGTTTATTTAACCATCCTAGTCTAGTTAACTTGCACGTTTGGCTGCTTCCTATCATGCACATCCTCACCAGGAGATGTGTAACCTTTACAATTGCTGGTCACAGGATGTATTAGTACATTTCTATCACTTATAACAAAATATCTGGAATTGGGTAATTTATAAGAAAATGAAATATATTGCTTACAGTTTCAGAGGCTGGGAAGTCCAAAGTCCAGGGAACACATCTGGTGAGGGTCTTCTTTGGTGTTGGCTTTACAACAATGCAGGGTCTCCCATGGCAGAAAATGGCAGAGCAGAGAGAGAGATTCACGTGCTGTCCTTTTAAAGCCCACAGAACCATGCCTCTGACCACCATTATTAATCCATTCACTACTGCATGGCCCTACAATCTAATCACCTCTTCAAGGTCTCACCTTTTTTTTTTTTTTTTCTTTTTGTCTTTTTTCATGACCGGCAACGGATCGCAACCCTCAGTGTCGCGCCCGTACCGGACCTGGACCGGCAACGGGATCACAACCCTCAGTGTTGCTCCCGCACCTCGCTCAGCCAGTGAGCGGCCGGTCTGTATGTGGGATCCGAACTCTCGGCGGGAGCGCCACCGCGCTTCCCAAGCGGCACACTGTAGCAGTGCACCACCGGGCCGGCCCCAAGGCCTCACCTTTTGACTACCGTAATAGGATTTCCCACCCTTAATAGTTGCAATGGGGATTAAGTTTTGGGGGGACATTCAACCCAAGGAACAGGGCGTGCACACCTTCAAGGACTTTGATCAGAGTGCTAGGTCAGTCTGATCATGACACACTGAGCTCAGAAGGCCCGTAGGTCTTCAGCCACACCTTTAGTGTGAGGCAAAGAAAGGCTGTCACTGTCCTTCTGGGCCATGGTGTCTCGCATGCAGCCACGGGGCCTTGCTGACAACGGCTCATCGCCCATCTCACACCTGTGGCTGCGTCAGGCACCAGCTGCAGGAAGCCCAGCGTAGCCTCACCACACTCTGCTGGTGCTGTCTCGGCTCAGGCATGGTGGGTGAGCTTCTGCTCCAGGTGACAGATGATGGCTCTGATATGGGGGGGCTGCGAGGGCGCTCCTGGACTTCCTTCTCAGAATGCATCACCACCGAGTCAGAGTCCGTCTTCCGCGCAGGGGCGGAGAACAGTGTCTGCCGGGGACCGTCAGACAGCAGTGCTGCTGCAGCAGATGCACCCAGGCATGGCACTGTCCGCACTAATGCTGTGGTCCCTGCTCTTGGCCTGCTGGACCCTCCCTCCTGGTGAGTGTGTGCTGCTGTCTGCAGGTGCTGGTGGCTGGGGCCACAGGCATGCAGGACATTCCTTCAGGGGAGAAGGGGATAATACCACATGGTCATCCCTGTTTATCTGGTTTCTTTGCACACATTTTTGGTGACTTTCAATTTGTTAAAGCAACAATCTTGATGCCATCAAAATGCAGAGTATCAATGGTAGGTAAATTTGAGATAAAGGTGGGAATTTGGGTTAAAAGTGAGTCTAGCTCCTAATTCTTGAAAATTATGATGAAATTCTCAGAATCTTCTTTCTCCATCTGTGTTCTTGTCCTTGAAGGCCTGGCTGAGGAGGAGTCCCTGAATCTACTGGGAGGTGGAAACAGCTGCGAGGGCCTCCTACAGGTGGAGCACAGTGGGCAGCAGGGCCTGGTGTGTGGGGACACCTGGGGCCTAGAGGAGGCATCAGTGACCTGCAGACAGCTCGGCTGTGGCCCCGCACGGTCAGCCACCAAGTACATTCTGAAGTACCAGGAGACAGAACAGCTCTGGCTGCACAATGTCCACTGCCATGGTGGGGAAGCTTCCCTCTGGGAGTGCTCCCTGGGGTCATGGGAGCTGCAGAGCAGCTGCAGGTGCAAGTGTGTGGTGTTCATAACCTGCTCAGGTAGGTTGGATGGGGACCCCTAGCCCTCTAGTCCTGGGACCTCTGTCCTCTAATCAGGAACTAGAGGCACCAAAGCAAATCCCCATGGAGGAGGAGGGCCTGGTGCAGGAGTGAGAGCCCCGTCCCCACAGGAACCTTGGGGTTCCCTTCCGCTGCAGGACAATGAGGTCGGGGGGGGGGCCTTTCCTTCTCTTCGCTTCTGGAGATTAGTTCTTGCCCTCCCAATAGTTTCCTACACTGGACCCCCGTCTCATTTCTAAAGTCACTCACCAAAGCTGTGCTTTCCTTTGTCACCATTCATCTTCAGGGACACCTTAGGGAGTTCCTGGGCTGCAGCTGTGTAGAGAGCACAGCAGCATTGCAGTGAGAGTTGCCCACTTACATGCTTATGGCAAGTGCCCTGATCCAGCGCCCATGGCAGCTGCTCTCTGTGCTGTGCACACTCAGGGCACAATCCAGCAGTCCTGGGAGAAAGGGCTCTGTCACCTCGGGGCACCCACGGGGAAAGCAGGAACAGGGAAGATGGGCCGTGAGCAGCGCCATGGATGCCTAGTCAAGGCTCTGCCCCTGCATGTGTGCTGTGGGCACAGGCTTGGAGGACTGTGTTTCTCTTGTGTGCCACCAGGTGGTACCACACAGCAAATTGGGCTCAGTGGCGGTGGCAGCCCCTGTGCCGGGATCCCTGAAGTGGTGAGCCCAACCAGCCCTGCCCTGAGGTGTGACTTGCACAGGGAGGAAGCAAACGTGTTCTGTAGACAACTGGGATGTGGCACAGCCGTGCAATGGTCCAAAGTCTACCATGGAGCGGACGCTGGGGACAAGAAGACGGTGACTTGCCAGGGAACAGAGTCCAGCATCTTCGACTGCATGGTCAACCTGAACTACCTAGAGCAGTGTGTCCTTTCAACCTACACTGAGGTGGTGTGCACAGGTAGGGATGCCACAGCCCGAAGCATTTTCTTACCTGAATAGCGGGGATCATCGTGTCTGCATCTGCCTGGTGGTAAGTTTGAATGAAAACCCCCTCTGCCTGGTGGTAAGTTTGAAATAGATGATTAACACGGCTCTGTATTTCCTCTGCCTCATGGTCCAGGGAGGTCCCTGGAGCTGTCTCCTCTGGGGCAGGACCTGTAGCTCCCGCTGACCCGCCCAGATTCCTATCCAGCTCTTGCCCTCAGAGAGAAAGGGGCTGAGGGGCTTTGCTCTTCCACCCTGCCTACGGGGTGCAGGGCAGCCTTGTCTCCCCAGTGGGGAGGGGACCAGGGACAAGCCTCCCCTGTCACCATCTGTGTGGGCACCAGGACGGAGGGAGACTCGCAGGGGTGGGAGGGCGCTGAGCCCAAACACCCAGGACTTCCCCTGCAGGCCCCTGGGCCCTGGGGCCGTGCCTCCTGCGTCCTTCCTCCCCATGGGACAGGAGGGTGGCTGGGGGGTCAGTGCCCCGCAGAGGCCCGCAGGGAGCCTGTCCCGCCCTGGGTGGCTTCAGTCCAGCGTCTGCCCCCAGGACACACGGAGGCCCGGCTGGCCGACGGCGACCACCCCTGCGCCGGGAGCCTGGAGGTGAGGCGGGGCCTGACCTGGGGCA